AAAATTTGTTTTAATATATAGTAAAAAGATTCCTTTATGAAATTTAAAAATCTTGAATTAAAATTTTATTTAGAAATTGAGATATTGCGTGACAATAGTATTACAAACTTTATTCTATGTAAATACATTAGAGATAGCTATATTCTGATTACATATACATTCAACTGTACGATCTTCAGCGATTTTTTATTTATATTGTACTACACTATGTTTTTCAGATACATATTAGTTATAAAAATTTAATTTTGTTTTCATGTTTCCGATATCGATATTCTGAAAACTAACTTAAATAACGTTCAATTATTATAATTTACATCTGCTGACACAATTGAACATTTGTTTACTTTACTATCTGAAACGTTAAAATTAAATGTTTTAGAAATTGAGACTTTATTGCAATATGATTTAAAATTTGTTATAAAACTTATGTAAACAATAAAAATGATTAATATACAACGTTTAATGATTAACAGATAATCGATGCCCTTTTTGTATTATATAAATGTATTTACAAAGTTCTTTCCTAAAGAATTTATAAATTATGACGACATTTTTTGTATCGCATAAAAATAATTTGCAATTAATATTGATACACTTTGCTATGTTTAACAAGAACATTTTTTCATAATTAATACAAAAACATTGATGCAGTTAAAAAATAACGTAAATTTATTTCACTTCCCTTTAATTTAATTTTAATTTATTATTTTATTAATTTTTTAAATAATAAAATTTTATTATTTATTTAATACGTTTTCTTTATTATGCTTGTGGCAACATCCACATACAACTTACAAATTGCCTTACATATCATTCTTCGAAACTGCAAATAATGAACTTTAAAAAAGTGAAGAACTTTTACGGTTAGTAAAGTATTAAATGCAATCTATTTTCTTCCTCATATTTATGTTTATAAATACTTCATACTATTTTTACTATTTTTAATAGAATCCCACATTTCTGAGAAAAGACAAATTCCTTCGAGTTGACGAGCATATCTTTTTATTAGACAGCGTAAACCCAGCGCAACTAAGAAAGCACCTGCGGTTGTTGATTAGTATTTCTATTGTAGGCTTAAGCGAGGGAGAAAGATGTCACGAAAGAATGTCGTTATCTTTGTCCCTTGTTACTGCTTTCATATTGATTAGTCCTGATTACCAAGAGTAGGGAGACACGACAAAAAGTATAGACAGAATAGTTCCGGTCGTAAGTTAAGAATTACTGATAGCACGAGAAAGTTATGGCATCTGATAGGACGGTAATCCACCTGCATAAATCTTGAAATTAATAAATCGAAGAATATGTTGTATGTGCGGAAACGAAATATTCGAAAATCAAGAGTTGCTATTGAAAACACGAAATCTTGAATTAATCGGTGAGTGAATAAATAAATGTAACACGCGTCATTTAATTGTTATCCACTTTTTAAAATCCGAGTCTTCAAACCTTGATACATTTACCACACTCGATATACTTCAAATAATTTATTGGTTCTTGTGAGTGTATGAAATCTAAGAATATCCTTGTAAGAAGATTTGGTAAAATGGTAAGTCAGCAATCATTTGCAATGGTTTATTTATAAAAATAGTTTATCGTAGATTTGAATAGGATAATTCTCTACTTCAACACATTCGCGATCGCTAAAGTGAATTCACGTCCCTTCAAATATAATAACTTATAAAATATTTTATTCTTCTTCTCTTTTTCATTTGAGACTTGTTTAACGTAAAGTTCTTCATTTCTCCCCGTTTTAACATTAGAAATTTGTGGCACAATTAGCTTAAGATTATTTTCGTTTTCTGAAAAATTTGCCGGTAATAAAACGAGATCAAAATTTCTGAAAAATTTGCCGGTAATAAAACGAGATCACATCAGTTCTGTTACTATTTTTTATTCTAGCTTGTTCAATATTTACATTGATTAATTTCTACTAAAATAATATTAAATAACAATCACGTATTGTAGCATACGTTTATAATATCTCATTCGATGAAGAAATAATATTTAGATCTTTGCAATCGATATATTAAAATTTTTATGAAAGAAATATATTTATTATTTTAAAAAATACAAAGGTATGTAATTCAAATAAACTTAATAATATATATTGTAGGCTTTAAATCAATATGTTAAATGATCGTGGCAATAAATCGCAAGTAAAATGCCTCGGTATCTCAGAAAAGAAATTGTACGTAAATGAGGCGACGGTACATGTAAAAAATGAGAATTATCATAAAGCAATGTGTCTGCTTAATCAAGTAAGTTCATTAAATTTGAAACATTTTGTGTAATTCAAAAGAATATACACTTTTCTCCTAGAATAATAGTAGATTAGAAATCTTTATAGCACTAATGCACAGTTTCAAGTAAAAATACAGCGTTACAAAGATTAAAAACAAAGCTTTAATCATTAAAATTAAAATAAGAATGAAATTGCTAGACAAAATTTTAAATAGGTATAAAAATTAAGGCATTAAGTAAAATTAGATAGTTTTACTTATTCTGTGTAATAAATATTCTTGATAACAAATTTGTAGTTAGAGTAAAACAGGAAATTAAATTCTCGATGTTCTTTTGCTCATAAAAATACCTTTTTAATGATGCTATGAATGACGTCTCACCTTGATCAATAATAATTATGTTAACTTTAACTATGAATGTATTTATTATATTTATTTTTTAAATTTATATATATTTGTATTATATATATTTACATATATCTCACATATAACATATAATTTATATATACGAAGAAAGTTCCTTCAAAGTAATTATACTGTTAAAGATACAGAAAAGCTAGTACAGTTTACTGGAATGTTGTAGAAAACATTTAGGACTCTATATCGTGATCATGGTATTGCGTGTGGTACCATTGTAACTGTGTTTGCTAGCGAAACCAACCACTTGTCACACAATGTATATTTTCTCGGCTTCAAAGTGCCGCAACTTATTAAGTAACCAATACCGTACATTCAACGGATGTTAAACATAAAACCACGATAACAGTAAAAGTACTGCTTATTAATATAAAATTATGTTTTTTACTTGTTTTTTAATCGTCTCCGTCGTGCTATTAAAAAAATCTTACATCAGCATCACTTTTTATATAATGCGAAATTTTTATTTACATTCTCACGTGAGTTTGCATTTTAAAGAATAAATATTTAGTGGTTATATTTATCGTGATAAATATTGATTATTGGATCAGCTGAATATATTTTTAAAATCAAAGAATAATGGTAATAAAAAAAAGGTCAAATAATTTGTTCATTAATCAATTTTATCTTACACCAGAATGTATAATTTTATCAAACCATATGATAATAATATAAACAATATGTAATAATTATTAATGTTATAGAATTGATCAAGAAAATTATCCGAAGTATTTATTAAGTTTATCGTACATTTATTTACATATATGACAGATGGTATACGTTTATATACGTACAGTGGGTCACAAAATTATTCGCTCAGTCGATAGTGCGGTAAAGATAAATGAAGTAACCATACAACGAAGAATTTTTTCAGATTTCTTTTAATGGATATACATTATTTACAGTTCAGTGTAACAAAATGGTATAAAAAAGTATAAAGTTTTGATTTATAATTGCAAAGAAAACATATATATATATGTATATAGATTCTACAAAATAATTTGTCAATAGTAGAGCTTGAAATATTTCTTCGAACTTTTATAATTATGGATTGCGCATTCGTTTTAGTTGTAATATGAAAGATGTGTAATTTCGTTTTTAATTCATTTTAATTGTTTCTGATTTTTAATTCTTGTAATTCCACAGTTATTTGGTTTATTCCACAGTTAATGGAATACATACTTCTGCCATTCGAATTAAATAAATTAACTTTAACTACGTCTACAAATGTAAATATATTTCAAAATTTTCAATAGCAATTTCTATATTCCTTATAAATATCGAATGCTGTAACATTAGAACTACTGAGCAATTAGAGTGATTTATTTCTAACTTTTTATCAAAATTAGAACAATACATTAAAATTTGAAGTTCAAATTTATTTTGCAACCTCTTACAAGAGTATCTTTATAATTTTAATACTTGTATAATAGAAGTTCTGAAATAGATCAATTTGACCCGTCTGATAGTTCTAGTGTTAATTCGTACATTTTACAATTAAAAATAAAAAGTCGTTTTCGCACACCCCCGTTTTTGCTCTCGTTATAGCTTTCACCACGTAATCCTCATTGTACAGTTTCCATTTATGGTATGAACAAAATGTGTCTATACAATAAGGGTCGTTTGTTTGCTTCAAATAGAATTTTTTCCTTTCTTATCTTGTTTTATTTCCCAATAAATCTGTACCCGCACTTATAAATAATTACAACCTTTCACATGGTAGATTGCGTTTTACTTATTATTTTTGCAATTTCTTTTGAAAGTGTAACTTTACAATCTCCTTATAGAAAAATCAATAACTAACGCACCATAAATAATGTAAAATAGTCAT